GAGGCCATAATACCTAAATCAGGGAGAATCAAAACACAGAAAGAAAGCTATAGACCAATATCCCAAACGGATATCAATACAAAAATTTTAAATACAGTTTTAGCAAGAAAATAATAGCAATATGTCACAAAGATAATATACCATGATGCAATAAGAGTATGGGACCTGGAGTCAGGAATACCTGAATTTCAATTCAGCCTCAGCCACTTACTATCTGTGTGACCCTGAAGAAGTCTCTTAACCTCTTTTACAATCTGTAAAGTGGCACTGATAATATTATATCATCTACCTCCCAAGGTTGTTGTCAATATGAAAACATAGTATTTGTAAACACTTTGAAAACCTTAAAATCCTATATAAATGTTACCTATTTTGATTACCAGGAAAGCAGGGCTTGTTTAATATTAGGAAAGCTATAGACCTAATCAGCCATATTAATACCAAGAACATTAAACACAATATGTTTATATCAATAGATTCACAAAAAGCTTTTGACAATATACAGCACCCATTCTTGTTAAAAAACAAAACATGAATATGTAGGAATAAATGGATCTTTACTTAATGTGATAAGTAGTTTCTAGAATAGAATTGGCACCAGTCTCTTTGCCACATGAGAGGAGCCTAAAGGCATTTAAAACTTCTTCAGTTGGACATTCACCTAGAAAAGAATTGATTTCTACCAGAGGTATATGGTTGATGACGTCAGCATCGATTGATAATGGTGGTCTGTTGAGAACACTATGGAAGAACACTACAAACTATGTTCAGCGCATCTCTCCAAGATCATGTCTTAATTACTAATCAAAGTGGCTCCATCAGTGCTGAGTAGTTGAGATGCACCATAGGTCTTTGGCCAATAGACAGCTTTCAAGGCATTGTAAAAGCTCTTTGGATTGTTTCTATTAGCATAAAACAGAATTTCACGTGCCTTCTTAGTGATTCAAGAATCCTGCATCTCTCTAAGCTTCGCTTGCACTATGCTTTTGTTGGAGTTAAATGCTGCTTTCTTAGAGCCAGATGAACTTTCTTGCTAGTAAACCCTGTGAAGTTCATGTTTTATGTGTAGTACCTATTTTATGGAGAGCTCACGCAAGGCAGGTGCTCACATGGTGGTCAGAAGAGGCAGTAAAGGACAATCTCAAGGTCTCTGAAGAACTTTGGAATCGATTGTGAGACATAGGAGATACTGGCAAAGAATGGCCCAGCATGGTGTGCCCACATCAAAGAAGGTGCTGTGCTCTATGAGTGAAGCAGAATTTCAGTAGCTCGAAAGGAATGTGAGATGCACAAATTGAGAAACATTTCCACTGCAAATGTTCCTAGGGACTACCTGTGCCTGACCTGTGGTAGAGTCTTCCAAGCTCCTGTTGGGCACACTGTATCTTGACCCTGACATAGTGATGTCATTTTGGTCCTCCTCGAGAATGAAGGACAACAAAACCAAGCAGCCAAGCAGTCTCTATGTAAAACGAAGAGTCAGCATTATCTCTAATGGGGACAAACTAGACACCTTTCCAGCTAGAACAGGGGCAAAGCACAAGGGTCCATTATCATCATTTCTATTCAGTCTAATGCTAGAATGCTATCTATGGTGATAAGACAAGAAGAAAATTGAGAGTATGCAAAGCCAAAGAAGAAACCAAATTATGTTTCGCAGATGATATCATGATTTACTTAGAGAATCCTGGAGTGTCAACCAACAGATTAATTGAAATAACTAATTACTTCATAAATTGCAGGGTGTGAAACCCTACCCCAAATCTTCAGCATTTCTATATATTACCAACAAAATCCAGGAGGAAGAAATAGAGAAATTCCACTTAAAATAATAGGAAGCATAAGGTACTTGGGTGTCTGTTTGCTAAGACATACATACACAGGAGAATATAACTACAAAAACACCCTTTACACAAAAAATAAAAATGACATATTAATTATTCAGTGCTGCACCAATCAAACCACCAATGGCTTACTCTGTAGAGCTAGAAAAAAGTAACAAAATTTATCCCTAAAGAACAAGTTTTAGAATCTCAAGGAAAATAATAAAAAAAGTGGGGAAGAAGGGGGCTTAATAATATGTAATCTCAAACTACATACAAATCAGTAATAAAATTTGATAGTAGTTAAGAAATATATTGATTAATGGAACAAGTCAGGTGCACAGTACACAGAATCGCATGAGCATAGTAACCTAGTGCCTGATAAACCCCCAAATCCTAGTTCTTAGAGTAAGAACTCAGAATCTGAAAAAAAAATGTTGGGAAACCTAGAAAATAGTCTGGCACATCTTATACTATGTGAAACAGATAATTTTGATTAAGTAACATAAAATTTTTACACAAATGAAACCAATACAGCTAAATTTAGAAGAGAGCAAGAAAATTGAGGAATCTTCTAGCAGATGTCTTTGATAAAGGTCTCATTTCTAAGATATCTAGGGAAATGATTCATATTTATAAGAATAAGCAATTCCTCATTTGACAAATGGTCAAAGGATATGAACAGGTAGTTTTAAAAGGAAGAAATCCAAGCTATAAATAGTTATATGGAAAATGCTCTAAGTTACCAATAGAGAAACACAGATAGCAATAACTGTTCCATCTCACACTCATCATATTGGCTAAGTTGACAAAAAAGGAAATGGCATTGTTGTAGGGGCTGTGGGATAACAGCTATATTAACGTATCATTGGTGGAACTGTGAAGTGGTCTAGCCATTCTGGAAAGCAATTTAGAACTATGCTCCAATATGTTCTAAAATGCGTACGCCCTTTGATCCAGCAATACCAGTCTTAGATCTATACCTCCAAACAATAAAACAACAACAACAACAAAAAAGATCCATATAAGAAAATGTAGCTGCCTTTTTTTGGGGGTGGCAAAGAATTGGATGCCTGTCAGTTGGGAAATTGCTGAACAAGTTATGGTATATGAATATGTGGAAGAATATTATTATATTGTAAGAAGTGATGAAGGGGATAGTTTCAGAGAATGCTGTGAAGATTTGTATGAACTGATGCAGAGTGAAGCAAGCAGAACCAGAAGAATTAGCTATATGGTGACAACAATGTTGTAAAGACAAAAGAGTTTAAAAAAAACTTTGTGATTAAAAGGATTTCTATCAATGCAATAACCTACCACAATTCCAGAAGACATATAATGAAATGTGCTACCCACCTCTTGACAGACAGGTGATGGATTCAGAGTGCAGATACACACATACACACACATACATATATATATATATATATGTATATGTATATAATACATATATATATATATATGTATATGTATATGTATATGTATATATATACTACGACATAGCATGATATGTGTGTGCTCATATATATGTATACACATATACATAATATCTGACTATACATTTTTGTAGCAGAGGTTTTTATTGTTTTCTCAATGAGAAGGAGAGGAGGTGGGAGGGAGAGAAAGTGGATTTTCATTAACTGAAAAAAAAATTTAAAAACACAAGACTAGGTTAGTTTAAATGAGGTGTATGAATGTAATCTCTTTGGAAAAGGAAAAATTACCTCTAATACCAGTATACATCATTTTCCTGAAAACATGGTTGCAAAAGTGAATCATATTTTCCAATCCCTTTGCACTACAAAATAGAATTATACTCCACAGGAAAAAAATGACTCATATGCAGAGTAAAAACTACATTTGATGGTGCTGTAATGCCTTTGAAGGAAAAAACAATAGTTATCTAATAAAACATCTGATGATATCCTTTCAGTACATATTTGAATGCTTACTATGTATAAGGTACTGTATTCAGCACTTTGCAGGTAGATCATTTAATATTGACAGCAACCTTGGGAGATAGGTGCTATTATAATTCCCACTATACAGTCAAGGAAACTGAGGCAGGCAGAGGTCAAGTGACATACCCAAGGTCACATAGTTATAAATATCTGAGGTGGGATCAGAATCCAGGTCTTCCTGACTCCAGGCCCAGTGTAGTATTCTATCTATTACACCTCCTAACTGCCTCTGGATCATAAGAAAATTTATTTAGGATTATAGGATAATAGATTTAGAGCTAGAAACCACCATGAAGGCTGTTTTGTCCAGTCTTTTCATTTTACAAATGAGAATGCTTAAGCCCAAGTTGAGTGCTCTGTCCTGGCTCATGTAGGTAGAAAGGGACTGAATCCAGGTTCTAAGACTCTCAATCCAGTGGTCTTTCCTCTGTTACCATGTTGTCTCCCTAATAGATGGTTTACAGGTATTATTCTGGCCCCAAATTTCATTACCTTCTAGCCAACCTGGGCTCATTTTCATGGCTGCTCCTCGGCAGATGTAAAAGCTACCTCTGGGCTCATATTCCTTCTGGTGTGATAGCCTGGACAGAGACTTTGTTCTAGTAGCAAAATCTTCTAGAACCCATGGTCACCTCTGTACCATGATGGCTCACAATAGAGAAGCATTTTAGAAGAATCACCTTAGTACTCAAAATAAGCCTTTAAAAAGCACAAATGCCCTATTGGGAGCTGTGTTCTTTTGTAGCTAGGTCTACTGGAAGAGTGAATGTGTATACAAAGTAAGTATACTGTTCCAAGTAAAACCCAGGCTTACTGGCTAGATTTTAGCCATTTGTTAACCTTTCTTTTTCTACTATTTAGGCAGATTGGTAAAGGGGTTATTTAACTTTGGACCACTTGTACACATGGCAAACTTACCTCTCGATTTAATCTTGCTCTAGACTGATTTCAAGGGCCCTTCCTGGGCTTTCCTTCTTGACACCTACCTGGGTATCATTTATATCATTTCCCCAAATGTGAATTTAAGTATGCATGAAACTTGTCTTGCCGAGTGAGTGGATATTTAATTCTGGCCTCATTTCCTTGGCCCTTTCCCAAGGGTCTTATTTTTCCTACTTCCCAGCATGGTCTAAACAAGGAAACGCGGCATTAGTGTCTGCTGTATTGTGTATCTGAAATGTTATTTGACCCACTCGGAGTTCTCTTCTGTTCACAGATTACAATTGGAGTATATGATCCCTGTAATTTAGCACAATATCCTGGATGGCCATTGAGGAATTTATTGGTCCTGGCAGCATACAAATGGTATTGACTCTGTGTGTGTGTGTGTACACATGCGCGCTTACATACACATCTCGTTGGGGTTGAGAGTAGTTTTTTCAAATGTATTTTTCATTTCTTAAATATAAACCAGAGGTTCTCAGCTATTTAATTACCTTTGAAGATTTTATCTGGTCTCTAGGGGCCAAAGCTGGTTGGATGTCATTTAAAATTTGTATTGAAAATTTTAAAGGAGGGCAGCTAGGTGGCTCATTGGATAGAGCACTGCCCTGAAGTCAGGAGGACCTGAGTTCAGATCTGGCCTCAGACCAAACACTTGACACTTACTGTCTGTGTGACCCCAGGCAAGTCACTTAACCCTAACTGCCTAAGCAAAAAAAAAAAATGTTAAAGGAGCAGATGGAGGTGAGTGAGACCCTTATCTTTATCCCAGGGGGATAAAGATAAATGACATGGGCTAAGGTCATTGGTGAGTCCCATTTCCTTCACTTCTGCAAACTTTTCTGGCAGGAAGGACATATGATCAGAAATTTTGAGATTGCATTGCCAGAGATTAGAAGTGGTTTGCCAACAGGATTTCCGTATCATTCCCCTCTTTTCCCATAGTAAAAAAGAATGATGAATTTCAGGTTAGATGATGGTTTTATTTTTACCAGGTGTTTTTCTTTTGTTTTTGTTGGATCTCACTTGTTTTTATATCACCTTCATTTCCCAGTATATTTCTTCTCTCCTCCCCACCCAGAGAACCATCCCTTTTAACAAAGAATAAAAAAGAAAAAGAAAAAAGGCAGTTCAGCAAACCTAGCCAGCACATTATAGGCAGTGTTCCACCTTCATATCTTTCTACTTCCAGGAAGAAGGAAGGGAAATGTATTTTCCTGTCTCTTCCTGGGCCCAAGCTTGATCACTATATCTATAGGATTTAGTTTTGATTTGTTGTTGTTATTCTTAATAACAGCTAGTATTTATATAGCACTTAAAGATTTTCAAAGTGCTTTACAAATACCTCATTTTATCTTCACAACAGCCCTGGAAAGTGGGTGCAATTATTATCTCCATTTTACAGACTGAGAAAGGCAGAAAAGTAAAGTGAGTTGTTTTCTTCTGTCAGGTTATTAAGGAAAAGCATGCACACTTAATGTCTTTCAGATAAGGGAAAATGGCATTTCATTGTAATAAAATATTTATAGCTTCCGTAAAACACCTTATAAGATGGTTTTTGAGTCTTTTTATAGAGATGCTTTTTTGCAATATAATACTGATAGGGGAAGAATTACAAGACCATGGAGGACCTTCCCTTGACTCTTTTTACCCTGCCTTGTGAAAATGCTTACATATGTGTGTATGTGTGTGTGTGTGTGTGTGTGTGTATATATATATATATACACATACATATATATACATACATATGTGTGTATATTTACATATAATGTGGTTGTATTATTTAAAACTCATATGCACTAGAATCCTATCAGCTTACTTTTCTTCTCCTTGGCTACTTGGAAGCAAGCAGAAGTTAAAACATTTAACTTTCCAGAAGGTTAAGGCTATTTCCCAGTGAAGGCATCTGAGTGACAATAATATTAAAGTGAACTGTCTATCGACTTCAGCTCTGCTTACATTACAGAGGCTCTGATCTGATTTTTTTCTCTGGGGCTTGGGGGTCACAACAGGAGTGACCGTTTCCAGTCGGTCGAAGTCCTCTGCTTCCGGGACCGGACCCTGCAGGGGGTGAGGGACATCACTCACAGCATCATCTTTGAAGTCCAGCTTCCAGAATTGGCATATAACTCAGGTAATTGATCAGCATAGGAATCAGCCTCCTTGTCTTTAAAACAGAAGCTGGTCAGTCCTGGTTTCATTTCCTTTTCCTCTTCTGTTATGGTTAAGATGACAGAAATAAAGACCTTTCTACATCTTTGTTGGTAGGAATAGCTGCTTTGAGCCCAGCACATCTGTTCCTCAGAAGAAAGTGAATAGAAAGCACCCTTAGGAAAGGCAGAAAACTATTCAGGCAGAGGTTTAAAATAAAAAATAAACCACTAAGCTTTCATTCGTTTATATGGAAAGGAAACTAGGGATTGATGCCCTTAGTATAGTTAATCTTTGTTCACCTGGGAGGACATACGGTAAGGAATAAGTTCTAGCCAAATATTTCATGGATATAGGAAACTCCTGGGTGAGAACATGTCCTCTGCCAGTGCAGGCCAGCACTTTATCTCCAATTTTTGGTCTTAGAGAGTTGCCTAAAGGCCTGAGAGACTCTGCCTAGGTCAGCCTTACATAACTGGTATGTGTCAGGGGCAGGATATGAACCCAGATCTTCCTAGCTCCAAACCTAGTACTCTTGCTGATATGCAGTGACTGGCTCTCAGGATGTAAACTGCCCATAGGAAGAGTGCATTTGGGGTCCGGGGTCTGGGGCCTGGGGCTGGCAGGAAGTAAGGGGGTGCTGGGGGACCTGGGGGTGACAGGGAGTAGGAGGGGGTATCAGAATGATTCTAGGATGACATTTGCACCAGGCACAAATGAACAGGGCGCAGTGATGGTAGCTGCAAACATTTTGTGAGTATCTTATGTTGCATTGCAGTAGGGATAAGGGTTTCCCAATGAATATGCTTTGACAAAAAGATGGGTGGAGCACTGCAGACTTGATCACTTCCCGGGGTGCCTCAGTTTCCCTTTAGAGTTGAGCCTTTGGCAGATTCCTCCTTTCCTGTCTAGCTTTCTCAGATATGTTTGGCATACCAGTGCCCTCTTCTGGCATATTCTAAAATGATATGCATTTCTCATGTAGTTACTTGATAGATTTGTTCTGTGAGTGAGCCATTTTGGTTATATTTTAGAACCATATATTGTTCTTCAAAGGTATTTTTTCAAAACCTTTTCTTTAAATAATAAGGTGTAGGAACCAAATTTGAAACGTCATTGGTTTAAGGAACTCCCGATTGAGGAAACTTCCTATACCTACGCAAGATGCCAATGAGGCCAGGGAGTACCAGGTTAAAGTGTCACTGGGAAATAATTAACAAAATAAATAAAAATACAATAAAATACAGATCACATTACATTTAAAAAATAAATCAATATACAGCCTGTAGGGATACTGATGTGTGGGCTAGTGGCAAACTATTTGAGTTTGACATGTCTGGCTTAGAATGCTGAAAGCTTCAGTGCCTCACTTACTGGAGGGAGTCTTTGAAGAGCCATTTTGTGTGTGTGTGTGTGTGTGTGTGTGTGTGTGTGTGTGTGCGTGTGCGCGCGCATACCCATATGTATCTATAGATTTGAATTGATGCCGGGGAGATTGACATTAACCTCATCTGTCCTGGATCATACTTCCAAAAAATAATTTTATTTATCATATTCCAGTTAATACAGTGCAGAAGACACACTGAATAATATTTGTCTCCAGAAGACCCTTGTTAGAGGCAGTGGGAGAACTCTGAAGGAATCCTCTAGCCTTTTCCCATTTGTCCATTAATACAAGTCGGTCTCATTATATAATTGTCATGTTATAAGGCAGGGAGAGCCTGATCGGGGTACTGGCTGTGTACATGGATTCAAGTCTTCCCTCTGTTTACTTTCTTTGTATCCTTGGAGAGGTTTTTAACCTCCCTAGATTTCCTCAGAGGCCCCCTCTAGCTCTAGATCTTGGACTGTGTGAATCAGAGGAAGTGATAAGGCCTAGTGAAGTTGGGTCTGAACCATTACCCTGCAGCTTTTCACTTGTGTAGTTGTAGACAAGTAATTTGATTTCTCTGGGACTCAGTTTTCTCATTTGCATACAAAGGGGTTGGACTAAGCTGCCTCTGAGATCTCTTCTAGCTCTAAAGCTAGGATCCTGGGACCCAAACAAAGAGGGCTTTGGGTGAGATGGAGGGTCTTTTCCAGCTCCACAACATAACTTGTGCCAGTAGGATGAGGAGGAAAACATGACAGGAGGAAAGAGGAGAGGTTGCAAATGAGGGTAGTGCCTAAGGAGAAGAGACCTTCTTTGGGGCCCCAGAAATGGGAGCTTTGTGTTTTCCAGAGGGGTGGGCAGGAAGCATGAGAATTCTGCTCTCCTTGATGAAATGAGTCAACATCACTTGTAAACTCATTTGGTTATAAATGAGCAATTTATGATGAGCAGTGTTTAAACCATTGCTTTGGGTAAAGGATGTCGTTGGCATGTTTATTATTTTTACAAACACTTAGAACACCCCTTATAGTTGGTATTCGATATTAGCTATTTGTTTGAGCAGAGTTATCATCTTTTCTCTGTGTAATTGATCAGTAGTAACTCAGCACGGAGATGGTACTAAACTATTGTTCTTTAGGGTTTTAAAAATGGTTTCATTCAGTTAGTAAGCATTTATTAAGCTTTGCTAAGTGCCAGGCACTGTTCTAAATGCTAGCTGTACAGACAAAGGTAAAAAATAATCAGTCCCTATCCTCCAGAAGCCTATGTCCTAATGGAGGAGATGACATGTAAAGAAATAAGTACATACAAGTTACCTACATGGTAGAGGGAAAGGAATCTTGGAGGTGAAATCTTTAGTACTGGGATGATGGGAGGAGGCCGCCTGCAGAAGGTAACAAGTGAGATGAGTCTTGGAGGAAGCCAGGGACTCCGAGATGTGGAGCCAAGGAGAGCAATCGTGCTAGGCATGAGTCACAGCCACTGCAAAGGCACAGAGATGATGGATGGAGTGTTGTGTTCAAGGATCACCAGCTAGGCCAAGTAGTGGAGGAGAAGAAAGTATAAGAAGACTGGAAAGTCAGGGAGGTTACCAGTGGTGAAGAACTTTCAGTGCCAAACAAAAGACTTTATATTTGATCCTAGAGATGATACAGAGCCCCTGGAGTTGTTATGTGGTCAGACCTACACTCTGGGGAAATCACTTAGGGAGCTGAGGGGAGGGTGGATTGGAGTGGGGAGAGACCCAAAGCAGCAAGACCAGTTAGAAGGCTTTCACAACGGTCTGGGTGAGAGGTGATGAGGTTCTGGACTAGGGGGTCGGCTGTGTAGGTGAAGAGTAGGAGAATGTGACTGAGGTTGTGAGAGTAGAAACAACAGTATTTGGCAACAGATTACGTACGTGAAGTGAGTGAGAGTGCAGAGTCGGTGACGACACCAAGGTTTCAAATCTGGATAATTGGGAAGATAATGGTGACCTTCATAGTAACAGAAAAGTTTGGGACAGAGGAGGGTTTGGGGAGAAAGAGAATGAGTTTTGCTTTCCATGTACTCAATTTGAGATGCCTACAGGATATCCAGTTCAAGATGTCCAGTAGGCTTTGGGTGATGGGAGACTGGAATTTAGGAAAGAGACTAAAGCTGCATAGAGAGCTCTGGCAATCATCTGTATGGAGATGGTAGTTGAACCCGTGGGAGCTGATGAGATCATCTAGTGAGATAATGTAGAGGAAGAGAGAAGAGGGGCTAGGACAGAGCATGGCGGCTGTAACAGTGGTGAAGACCCATCGCAGAAGATGGAAGAGGAGGGCTGGCCACCTGAGAAGAGAATCCAGAGTGCAGTCTCCTAAAAACCAGCGAGGAGAGAGGAGCTAGGGGGAAAGGCTGATTGGCAGTCTTCAAGGCTGCAGAGGACGGAGAAAAAGGCCTTTACCTGTCACAATTGAGATCTTTGCTCACTTGGAAGAAAGCAGTTTCAGTGGAATGATAAGGTCAGCAGCCAGATTGCAAAGAAATTATAATTTTTTTCCTTTGAATTTATTTTTATTCTAAACTTAAAAAGCAAATAAACATTTCCATGTATATATATTTATATATATATATAGTAGAATAGAAAAAGGATTATATGTGAAATTGTGAATTTCTGTTATGCATACTTTTTGTTTTCAAGTATATAATAAAATATTTATGCTACTTTCAAAGCTGTCTTGCCTGTCTATGATTCCTTCTGACTTATCTTTTGTCCTCTTCTGTGCATTAAAAAATGCTTCAGTGATTCTCTGAATTGTGATTTTTCTTTCTGAGTGGATAGTAGGGTACAAGCCTGTTTCTACTTCTCTTCACCTTTCAACCTCCCCCCAACCCTCATTGAACAAAAGAAAGAACTCTTGTAACAAATATATTTAGTCAAGAAAAACAAATTCCCACACTGGCATGGTCTGAAAGATGTCTTATTCTGCATCTTGAGTTCATCCCCTCGATGTTAGGAGGTGGGTAACATGTTTTGTTTAAAATCCTCTGGAATCATAACTTGTCATTTGCAGACAGTGAGTAGATGACTTTTTTAGAATGGTTAGCTAAAAAAAAGGAAAAAAGATACAGGAACATCCTTAGTAGGGGCAATAGGATCTGATTAGGGTGTTGTTTGTTTTGTTTTTTTTTCTAAACTATGAGGACGACCACAGGTAAGGAATGTGAAGTCAGGGAGAGGCAGAAAAGGAGAGAGTAAGTGGGGATAATAGTGGGGCCAATCTTCTGGAGAAGAACACTTTATTAGAGATGGAATTAAAGGAGAGAGAATCAAGTAAGGTGTTTTGAGGGATGTGAGATAAGGAGAAGGGGAAAAGAGGAAACATTTGTAGAAATAGCTTCAATTTTTTCAATGAAGTATGCAGCTGAGAGGGTGAAAAAAGTTGGTATTGAGACAGGTTTGTAACACCAAGATTTGAAAAAAGCTTCCGGGGGAAGGGGGAAGGGGGAAGGAGAAGGATTATCTTGTTTTCTGTACTTTACCATGAGCACTGCATATTTAAGTATAAGCATATGGGGAAAAGTCCAATAATATGAATTGATAAGCCCCAATTATTTTACAGAGAAGGTATTTTAAATTCTACATTCCCTGGGAATGGAGCCAGATATATTATTTCCATTTTAAGTATTCAATGCTGGAAATAGGGCTAAGCTAGGAAAAAAACTAATTACAGCTTAGCCTCCAATGTGACTGAACATTTACTGAGTCACCTCTTTGCTGAAAATTTATAGACCTCCCCAAAGTAGGGTGCATGTGTCTTTCCAAGATACTTAGAGTCATGCTTTCAAATGGTGTCCTCAGTTATGGGTGAGAAATTTTGTGGCACAGCAATATTATTATTGCCATATATGAAGTCATTGCACCACCTTCCACCACCAACTCGGGGTCTTAAATCCCAGCTCTGCCATTTTACTGTCTATGTGACCTTGGGGAAGTCATTGGACCTCTCTCTCTAGGTTTCAGTTTCCTTGTCTGAGGGTCTTGGTCTAGATGGCCTTTGAGGTCACTTCCAGCTTTAAATTTGTAACCCTATGTAATTACATATTACAAGTAACCCTATGAAATTATAATTTTTTTAAAAAAAAGGTCCAAAGATCCTGTAAATCAGAAAAAATAAAAATACTTTTTCAGGAATGAAGGTAAAGGATAAAATCAGTAGTCAGACCAGAGTGCAGTAATGTAGCTCCATAAGACTATTAAACATAAGGAAGATTTTTGGGAAGAGTAGTTCAGATAGGTCACCGTCACCTAGGTGGTTTTCTCTCTTGAGCGACCTGGGAAAGGAGTCCAGAGGGTTTCCAAGATGTCATGACCTCAGCTCTCTTCCCATGTTTTTCTTCTTTCTTTCACTTTCTTCCTTCTGGCCCCTGTTCCTTTAGCTCTCTTGAACAGAGGGGGTTGCTTGGCATGGCTTTACATAAGTGGAGTTTTACAAAAACATACGAAAATGTAAAAACTTCAGTTAGATGGGAATTTGCTTTTACCAGGCTCCTGGAAGAGAATATCTGCTATATCATTTGTCTGGGCTCTTAAATGGTAAAATCTGTAGTTTTAGCATTTTGCTCTTTATCTTTTCCTTGTTGGCTTTATTTAATTTTGTAGATTGCCCAAAAGCTGTTGGTTGGGAAAAGAACCAGAAAGGAGGCATGGGCCCAAGGATGGTGAACCTCAGTGAATGTATGGACCCCAAAAGGTACATTTTTTAAAAATTGTGATCTTTTTAGACTTTGTGGGCCATGGTCTTGGCATATGCCATGAATGCTTCTAGGAAAAGTGCCCTAATGATCCTGAGCTATTACTCTCCATTATCTAGGCTGGCCGAGTCATCTGTGGATCTGAATCTTAAATTGATGTGTTGGCGGTTGGTGCCTACTTTGGACTTGGACAAAGTTGTGTCTGTTAAATGTTTGCTACTTGGAGCTGGTACCCTGGGCTGCAATGTAGCCAGGACATTAATGGTAGGTGTGGAGTAGCCAATGGAAATTGCTCTTAGCCTGTGAGGCTATCTTCCCTCCTCTTGTGTTCATTTGTATTTCTACTGTCGCTCTTCCAGATTTATCATTCAGATCACGTGATATTCCAGAAACTTAAAAGTTAAGTGGCTTAGTTGTGACATGTTTTTAAGCACGTCTGCTTTTTTTCCATTGCCCAGCATATTCCCACTTTGCTTTCCCCTCGGCCTAGTTAGTGTATACTTGAGGAATGCAAAATTCCTTCAAAAAGAAATCATCTAGAACCACATAAAAATTTTTTTTGGATTATCCATCCACTCCTCTTTTCCCTAGGGAAATGCTTTTCTGATGGAGCTAAAAAGCTGAAGAGACAGATGCTCTTCACTCCAAACTAGGCTTTTAGCATCGTGAGCCCTGAGCTGCGGGTTTTGATCCACATACCATGCATTTGGTCAGAGCCTGCTTCAGGATCCTCGCTGGTCCTGGCACACCTCGGGTCACTGTTGAGGTTGTTCCTGAAGTCTCTAGGCTAACCTCCCGTGCGGTGAAGCCAAACCAAGAAGGATCCCAGAGGCCAAGTGTCAGGAAGGCACTGGGAATCAAGCCGAAAGCCTGACCTTCCTCCCGTGTGAGCTCAAAACCAGTTGGACCTCGACGCGCTTGCCTGGTCCTGGTTGCCAAAAAGACACACACACATCAGAGGCAGTGAAGGTGCAAGCACAGAGAGCTGAAATGGTCAGAAGGACCGTTTCTGGATGAAGATGCTTAATAGAATCTGAGCTGCAAGGTACCTTGGAGCTCATTCATCCCAGGCCCCTCCTTTTACAGGTACAGGCTTAGAGAGATGAGGCTTCAGTACCTGTGCTCCAGAGCACAGGACTAGGAAGTGATCACCAGGACTCAGACCCTGGTTTTCTCACTCTAAGGCCAGCGTTTTTTTCTACCACAGTATATACACATCACCTATTAGTTTGGTCTGTGGTTTCATCAGCGTAGGATGCTCCTGGTGGAGCCTTCTTCCACCTGCTCAGCAACTCTTCGGTAGCAGAGAACCTGAGAGAAGGCAGTGAACAATGAAGAGACTTGGCCATATTATCCAATGGATGTGTGTCACAGCCAGTGGGCGGCGGGAGGGGGTCTTCACCTCCTTCTTCCTGCTGTCAGTACTGGCCCTCTACTCACCTTCCCACAGTCTCTGTATTAGAAAGATTAGGACTCTTCAGTTGGGGAGAAGCTTGGGAGACTTGGGCTTTGATTCTAACACTACTATTAACTAGACATAGGCAAGTTATTTAACCTCTCTGGGTCTTTTCCCATTTTTAAAATGATGGGATTGAACCATGTGACCTCAAGGGTTCTTGGATGCTGCGAAGCCTGAGAAGACTATGTAATGGGAAGTATGAACACATGAACAACATGGACAGCTCATACTCCTCCATGGATTTTGTTCACTAAATTCAAGGTCAGCTGAGATAGTTTTAGGGCAAACTGAAAAGTACTGCTTTATATAGTGAGTGTTAAACATGGAAATGACAATGCTAAGTCATTAAAGCTCAACATGGTCCCCCCAGTATGTAACCAAGGGAAGCTCAGGGCACTGGGGGAACCTTTCTGGCATCTTAGGGATGGCACTCCCAGAAAAGTCCCCACTGTCAGATACTGGTGTCCGAGGTTGTCAGTCTGACCCAGCATGTTGTGTCCGATATCCAGGGACTAACGACTTTACAGTGCAATCATTTTCAGAAACAAGCAAGAACAAAGTTGTGTTTCTAGATTGAAAAGTGCCTGGTGTTTTGAACATCGAGTATGGAAGCTTCCTTTATTTTGAAGTCTCTAGGTGAATGTGGCTATAAAACCCAGTCCTTTAGAGAATCCGTAGAGACTCCCTGTTAACAGGCGCATTCAAAACAAACTCTTCTCTCTTGTTTCACGTAGGGTTGGGGAGTCAGGCACATCACCTTTGTGGACAATGCAAAGGTATCTTACTCGAATCCTGTGAGACAGCCCTTGTATGAATTTGAGGACTGCTTGGGGGGAGGAAAGCCAAAGGCCCTCGCTGCAGCAGAGAGGCTCCAGAGGATATTCCCAGGAGTGGTGAGTGAAGGATTTTCTGAAGGCAGAGATCTTCCCTGCTCCCCAAATGTGTGTACATGTGTGTTTGACTTTTGTGCTGTCTTTTACTCTTTACTGTAGGATCATTCACTTAAAATGCCCAGCTAACGAAGCAAATCATTCTGCTCATTTCATTGATAAATGTAGGTTTTCTTGAGGTCATCCAACAAGGTTCTGGCTGCAGTGGTTTTGGTCAGCAGGGTCAAACCAGCTGTCCTAAAAATCTGATAGGAAGCCAGGCTTAGCCAGACCAGCCAGCTAACTTCCACTTTCTCCTTTGTGTTCATTCTGCCCCTGAGCCTCTCTCTTCAGCAGTGTGGTGTGATGGAGAGGGTGTCAAGTCTGGAGGTAGTCTGGGCTGGAGTGCATGCTCTGCTTCTTGCTACTTGGCGTGCTCCTGAGCAAATACCTCACCTTCTGTGGCCCTCAGCTTCCCTAGTTATGATGACAGAGGTAGCTAACACACACACACACACACACACTTTGGGCTTTAAGGTTTGCAGAGTGCTTTGCATACTTTATCTCGTTTCATCCTCACAACAGCTCTGTGAGGTAGGTACTTTTATTATCCTTTTTTTAAAATTAACTTACTTGTTTTAGTTTTCAACAATAATTTCTGTAAGCTTTTGAGTTTTAAATTTTCTTCCCCTCCCTTCTGTCTTCCCTCCCCAAGATGGCATGCAATCTGATATGGGCTGTACATATACATTCTTATTAAACATTTTCACATTAGTCATGTTATAAAGAAGAATTAGAACCAATAGGGGAAACCACAAGAAAGAAGAAACAAAACACTACAGAAGAAAAAAAATAGCAAATAGTATGCTTTGATCTGCATTCCGACTCCATAGTGCTTTCTCTGTATGTGGATAACATTTTCCATCATGCGTTTCTTGGAGATGTCTCAGATCCTTGCATTGCTGAGAAGAGCTAAGTCTACCAACGTTAGTCATCGCACAATGTGGCTGTTATTGTGTACAACGTTCTCTTGGTTCTGCTCACTTCACTCAGCATCAGACTATACGAATCTTTCCAGGTTTTTCTGAAATCTGCCTGTTCATCATTTCTTATAGGACAATAGTATTCTATTACATTCATATACCACAACTTGTCCAGCCATTCCCCAATTGATGGGCATCCTCTCAATTTCCAATTCTTTGCCACCACAAAAAGAGCTGCTATAAATATTTTTGTACATGTGGGTCCTTTCCCCATTTTTATGATCTCTTTGAGATACAGCCCTAGAAGTGCTGTTGCTGGGTCAAAGGGTAATTTTTATAGCCCTTTGGGCACAGTTCCAAATTGTTCTCCAGAATAGTTGAATTGGTCATCCTTTTTTACAAATGAGGAAATGGACTTGCTCCAGGTCACATAGCTGGTAAGCTTCTGAGATGAGATCTGAACCCAAGTTTTGCAGACTCTAAATCTGTAGCTCTGTCCACCATGTCACACTGCTTTTCCTGGACTAGATGAGCTGGAAATTTCCAGCTCCAAATTCTTTGAGCCAAAAGCCTTTAGTTTATATGCAGTTTTCTTGGAAAATATTGCTTTTGTATTTCTATTCATTTTTAAAATCCCCTGAGAGAATTAATTCAATTTAATGAATATTTACTGAGCAGCTACCCTTTGCCCAGCCCTAAGTTAGACATGGATGAGAATATAGAAGAAGGCCAAGACAGCCCTTACCCTCAGGGAGCTTAATATAAAGACACTGAGTTCTAAGGTGCAGCATGGACCAGGAAGGGGGAGGTCAAGGTTCTAGGCTGGACTCTATCAGTATCCTACTGTATGATTTTAAATGGGCTCATTTCTGCACCTGTTTCTTCAGTTGTAAAATGAGGGCTTTGGACTAGATTGTCTCTTTCAGATCTAATGCACTGTGGTTCTAAAACATTTTGTTCTTTATAACATCTTTGACTCTGCTTATATCATTTCCCCTTTCCTGGGGAAATTCCTGGAATTCCCTAAGACTTCTTCTGCCTTGTACCATTCCATTTCTGAATTTAAAGAATAAAGATAGTTCACCCTCTCAAGGAACTTACTTCACTATAATTTATTGAGATCATAACAAAGGATGCAGGGAGGATGCATGCCCATCTGTGACCTCACCTCCATGGCCCTCTTCATCCATAGCCAGGACATGTGCATGTGGGGTCCTTCCTGGAGCCAGACAGCTCTGCCAGGACTACAGATAGCTCCAAACATTGGTGCTTAGATCATCACATACCCAGGGGTGGAACAAAGGACACTGGTCTCCTTTATATGTGTTCATTCTAGGGTGAGCAGACCTTGGTGACTTTGGAATATGGTGGTCAGAAGTAAACCGGATGAAAAAACACACATGGTTTGGTATTTTTCCTTCAGTGCTTAGTGGATATGATTCTGAATTTGTCAGTCTCTGTGTGTTTCTGCCTCCATGTTGCTCGACCTCCTTTTGGAAGAAAGAGCCCTAGTCTGACTAAAATATCTCAACTTTTGACCCCCTACCTTCATAGGTCCTTCCTAGTCTTCAAGGCTCAGCTCAAATACTCCCTTTGCTATAAAGACCTGTTGACCACTCTCAGAAGTGACCTTTCCCTCACTTCAGAATTCCTATAGCATTTATTATCTGTGACATTTCACGTCACTTACTTACTGTCTTGTACCATTTTCTTTGTTTAATATTCTACCTGCCTTTGACCCTATGGGTTGGAAATAGTCTCATGCATGATTTAGGAAGTGACTTGACCTGGCATTTTAACCAGACTTCCCTAACAATTTTGGACACCCTTTATAGTATTGATTTTCTTAATGACCAAATATTTGAACTGTTAAGAGATAGTAGTTCAGGAGGAATGATGCAGTGCCAAAGACAACCATCATATATGTCACAGTTTGCCAAGACAGTGGCTAAACCCCATACTAGATAGGGAACAGGTCTTTTCTTCATAAAAGATTCAAGAAGGAGAGTATCTTTATGAGCTTTCTTGTCCCATCATCCTGCCTTCATGAGGGTTAGGGGAGCAAGGCAGACACACAGAAGCATTTTTGTCCCTTGGATGCGTATTAGCTGCTACAAGTCTACTTGTATCTGCTTTCAGTGTTAAGTGCTTTTGGATATTCCTTCAGAACTCTGCAGGATTTAACATGAGTATCCCCATGCCGGGCCACCCTGTGAACTTTTCCAACGTCACCATGGAACAAGCTCAGAAAGATGTGGAACAACTTGAGAGGCTCATCGAGGATCATGATGTGATTTTCCTCTTGATGGACACCAGGGAAAGCCGATGGCTTCCTGCAGTTATTGCAGCAAGCAAGAGGAAGGTATGGTATGTGGCATGATGACAGAGTGCTACTTGACTCCCTGCTCCATTCAGTCTTCTGGACTCTTTAAAAAAAAGGTTTATAAATACTCTACTTGTTTAGTTTGTATACATGCAGGCCCCAACTTATAAACAGGTTGTGTTCCAGAAGTTTGTAAGACAGTTGTTTAAAATTCAGAACACATTTTCTCATAGAAACTATGTTATAAATGGTGATTGGGGTCCCAGAATAGCTTACAAAGTCTATTTAATCATAATCTAGCTGAACTATGGCATTTTTAGTCATGTAGAATCAGCTACCACTTATTTCCATGTGAAAATTCATTTTATTCTCCAACTAGAACACAGGAAACCATCTCTCCACTTCCTCCCCATTCCTTACCAGCAGTGTTATCCCCAGCAACTTTTAAAAATAAGTAATGACATATCCCCTACCCCTGAAATTAGTAGAGTTCTATTGAGAAGTGAAGAAAGAGTCATAAATAAACAGGGACCAACAGAGTAAGGAGGAAGATGAGTGGGCAGCAGTTGGGAAGGCTGAGAGGTTCTTTACAGATTTTGGCCTCCCCGATGACCCACTCCATCTTAGCTCTTTGCTCACTTCCTTTGGACCCAGGGGCACTGTATCCTAATCAGGCACATTTTGGCCTTCTCCGGGTTTCTTCCATGGACCTCTTAGCTTGGAGACCACATTATTTCATTACTTTTGTCATGGTAGCTGCTGTGTTATTAGAGCCAATCCCTTCAGTCTGTGCGTTGGGATTCTACCCAGTTCTACTGGTCCAAAGGTCTGTTGAGCTTAGCTATTTATCATGACTGTCACGGGACTTAACACAGATAGTGTAAGGAAGACTTTCTTAATAACCAAGATTTTGTCACTTGTTTCAGTAACAGTAATAAGGATGTGATTTTATGTTAAAATTTAAATCATCCAAATGGAAATTAGAGTACAGTATTGTTTCTGCTTTAGAAAAACATTTTCTCACCTGCAAATCGAAGTCTGGTAAAGGTAAGTCTGTCATCATTGCTTTGTGGGAATGAATGCAGATTCACTGTTATTGCTCTGAGGCTAATTTAGTTCAGGTTAAAAAAAGATTTGAAAGATGATAACGAGTGTTTGTTTTAACTAGGTCATGGGCTTTCCCGGCTGGTAGCTTTCTTCTCTTACCACCGGTATAAAACTGGTAAGCTTAGCCTCTTCTGGGAAGAGCTGTCCTCTTTAAAACAAGCAGCCACCTAGGCTTACCCTAACGCCCTTCAGCCCACAAATTGTGCAGTTGCCTTGACGTCCTCTTTATGTTTGAAAAACCTGCTCTTCAGGTTAATGTGGCGATCTGTGTCAGCCAAGGAGCTAAGCACTTCTTTCAGTGTGTCCCTCCTGCCTATGTGCTAAGTCCAAACTCTGCAGCATGGTATTCAGTAACCACCAGGATTTGGCCCTAACCTCACCTGCAGACCTCATTTTTAACTGCCCACTCCTTTATTCCCTCCAGCATAATTCCCTTCTCTACTCTAGCCAGGCTGGGCTACTCAGTTTCCCTCTGAACAGGCCTTGCTTATTTCTGGCTCCATCCTCCTTCTCACACTGTTCCCCACCCCAGAAATGTCCTCAACTTTCCTTCTTGCTCCTTCATGGCCCTCTTCCAAACAGCCTAGCACAGTGAGCCCCACCTCCTCTGAACCTCTATGGCTTCTGCCTGTATGGTACCCCACAACCTGACACGTGCTGTCTTGGGATGTTTGACACCTTTGTACAGCTATACACATACACATACATACATACATACATATGTGTATGTGTATGTGTGTGTGTGTATGTGTGTGTGTGTGTGTGTGTGTGTGTGTGTGTGTGTGTGTAAGACTAGACGGCAAACTCCTTGAGGGCAGGAACTACTTGGGACTTGCTCCTCCTTTTTCTATCATCCAGAGCACTTTGCACACATGGGCTCAGTAGTGACTGATACATTTATTGGAGGATTCCCCCTGTTTCCATACACTAATGTTTCCAGTTTCCTCCCAAGCTTGTATTCAGAGCTCTTCATTTCTATACGTGTTTGAGCCTTTTCCTATCTGCACCACTGATTTTTGCTGTTTATGGTAAAAAGAAACAAAACAAATTGTGACTTTGAGCTAAGTAAATGAGTTGTTCCAGCCCCTGCCATAAAGCCTATCCCTAGGAGTCTGTTTGTGCTCCTTTCTCATCACTAAAGGACTTTCAGGGAATTGGAAAGCTTCAGGAATGGGAGAGTGGATGACTGAGGGATCGCAGCAGAATCTCATGCTTTATCCAAAGCAGTAGTTGAACACTTTTCTTAGGTACTGCTATACTTGACACTATGCAAGGTGAGTCAGATGTAGGCCTGCCCTCTGAAAAGTTATAGTCTAACACAACTCTTTTGTAGAAATACAAGGAGAACATATACCACTGCCTAGAAATGGAAGGCAGTTAAGGGGAGTGTTTGTTCTTTGTGGTGTGAGGAGGCAGTGAAAGAGGAACAGTGGTCACTCTGTATGTAATGAGAGGGCCTTGCTGGGAAGTCGCCACTTAGTTTATCTGAATATGGCCTAGGGCTCACTGTGATGTTTTTGAGAACCAGGAGGCTCAGCCTGGTCATCAGGCAGCCTCCCTTCTAACTCAAAGAATGTTCGACTACATTGAGACTAAAGGGATTTATTAAATTATTGGTAAAAAAAGGTTCCTTGTATCATGCAAACAGGATAATAATAAAATGTCCCTTGGGACACTTTGTGGGCCTTGATTGTTGCTTCATGCAATTATCTATAAAATAAAACAAAATTGATTGAATATGACAAATAACATGGTATTTAGAAGGTCTAAAATAGTATTTTTAGTCTCTCTAGATTTTCTCTGTATTTGCATAAGCTTAAATCATTCATTCACTCAACACATAATTATTAATTATCTGCTATCCATCAATCACATGTCATCTATTTTGATCCTCACAATAACCCTAGGAGTAAGTGGTATTAGTATCCCCCATTTTACAGATGGTGAAACTGAAGCCAAGTTTGCTCTATCCTTGCTCCCCCAGGCTTCCAGGGTGGTGCTTAGAGAGCCAGGTGTGAAAGCAAGAGGTTCATGTCCTGCTTCTGACCCCATCCTGGTTGCATGACCCTGGCCATGTTACTTAACCTCTCAGGGCCCTGCCTTGCAGAGACGCTCCTGGCCTGCGCTGGTAGAGGGAGGTTCCTCACCTTGAAGTTCCGTATACAAATGAAATCAATACCTGTCAGTCAACCAAAAAAAACATTTGTTAAGGGCTGACTGCATGCCAGACACTGGGTTAAGAGTTAGGGATGCAAAGAAAAATAGAGAATAGTCCTTGTTCTCAAAAGACCTACATTCCAGTGAGGGAGACAGCATGTGCATTGATAGTTGATGTGGGATACACAGGGAAGAGATGGAAGGTATCATCCAAGGGGAAGGCCCTCCCAGCTGAGAGTGTGGGGGGAAGCCTCCTGGCAAGGGGCAGCTGAGCTGAGTTGGAGGGCAGAGAGGCACTGTCAGGCGGAGATGAGGGCAGGTGGGTGGGAGGCAGCCAGTGTAAGAGGGTGAACCAAGAGCTGGTGCCTGGTTTGTGAGGAATGGCAGGCCAGCATGGCTGTGAGGGCGCAGGAGGGAGTGATGGGTGCTAAGCCTGGAGAGGTGGGAAAGGCTTTAAAGGCCAAACAAAGCATTTTATAGTTGGTGCTGGAGGCTGGAGCTTATCGAGGAGGGCGCTTGTTTTAGGGGGATCACTTAGGCAGAAGAGCCAGGACACAGACCATTGCAGTAATTCAGCCAGCAGTTTTGAGGGCCTGGGCTAGAGCTGGTGGCTGTCAGAGGGGAAAGAGGAGCTGTATCCCAGAGACAGAACAATTGGAGCTCCCTGAACCTTGCTGTGTGCAGTGAACTAGGATAAGCACTTGATTCTGTGAGCCTCTAAAATCAAATGTGTGTCATGGCGTTTTGTTTTCTCTCTCTCTGGAAACCTTCAGTTGGTCATCAATGCTGCCTTGGGATTTGACACATTTGTTGTCATGAGACACGGCCTGAAGAAGCCCAAACACCGTGGGGCTGGGGACCCACATCCCAGCCATGTCACAGCATCTGCCGACCTAGGGTCATCTCTCTTTTCCAACATCCCTGGCTACAAACTTGGCTGCTACTTCTGCAATGATGTCGTGGCACCAGGGGACGTAAGTAGAGACCTTTTCCTCTGTGAGCAGCCACCCGTAACCCTTTTCATTGACCAGCTCCCTGTTGGGGGGTAGGGGAATGCAGTGTTCTCATCTGTGATAGCATTTGTTGTTGTCGGGTGATCAGTTGTGTCCGACTCTTCATGACCTTGTGGACCATACTGTCCGTGGGGTTTTCTTGGTAAGGGTACTGGAGTGGTTTATCATTTCCATCTGCAGTGAGGTTAAACGATTTGCCCAGGGTCACACAGCTAGTAAGTCTGAACTCGGGTCTTTCTGACTTCAGGCCCAGCGATCTGTCCACTGAGCTATCTAGCTGCCTCTGTGTCAGCATTCTGTTGACCTTTTATTTCTGGATTGGTGTCATCCCACCATGTGCCTGTAGGGGAAGCACAGACATGTCGACTCAACCACATACAAGTAGACTACATTAACTGGTATCACACACATCCAAGCCATCTCAGTGAAGAATGACCAGGAAGCTCTTGGAACGTTGGCTTTTGCATGTGCTGTAATGATAGAGCATTTGTCTGAAAGACAGAAGCCCTGCATTCTAAATCTCAGCTCTTCTGCTGACCAGCTGCTTAACTCTGGGCAAGTCATTTTTACCTGCTGGTGCCTTAGTTTCCTCATCAACAAAATTAAAGTGATAACACCTGCCCCAGTGGAGTGTTGGGGTTATGAAAGGAGCTCATGTTTGTGAGTGAAGGCCCTTCCAAAATCCCTGTGTATTCTACTGTATAAATAAATGTCAGATATTTGGGGAGCTCTGCTTTATGTCGGCTGCCTCAGTCTTCTGGTTGGATGTTGGGTGGAATGGAGTTCTTCTCAGCATGTAACAGATTTGGGTGTTTGTTGACAGTCAACCAGAGACCGGACCTTAGACCAGCAGTGCACCGTCAGCCGACCAGGCCTAGCCATGATCGCAGGATCCCTGGCAGTGGAGCTGATGGTTTCTGTCCTACAGCACCCAGAAGGGTGAGTTAGACAAAATGCCCAGTGAGGGCTTTGTGGATAGTTCATTCAATAGTTTCCCCTTAGCCTGGAGGGAGAGACTCTGTTTTGTTAGCTTGACTTTTCTAAAGGTTTTCTCAGTCCTTACATTCTGTACTAGAAAAATCTGACTCGACTCCTTTCCTGAGAAAAGAGCTTAGGAAAGCCCGGGACTGACAAGAACATATACTATTATAAGAATATATGCTATTATATAAGTCTTGTTAATATTAAGCACTTCCAGTGTTCATATAAAGCTCATCTACAACCTGAGGGTGAAGGAAGGAAGAGCTGGGTTGTTTGTGATTCATGTTTGCCTGGGGCCTATGTCAGTGGCCTGCATACCAAAGGTACATAATGTATGATCAGTAATTCCCAAACTTTACCAATATGATCACACCATTATAGCATCAGAACACTTTGGAGACCTCTGGTGGTAGTATTGTACTATTTATGTCCATTGATTGAGAAAATACATGATGACAAAGAGCTACTTTGTTTTATGTTTTATTTTTTATTTTTTTAAATGAACTTGTATTTTATAAACTACAATAGCATTGACTTTTGAAAAATGGTAATAGGTGATACATAAATATGTATATATGTACACATACATATATGTAAAACATTTATAGTCTCCTCAAGGTATGTTTGCTTTTTAATGGATTTTCTTAATGTAACTCTTTGGCCCCTCCATAGAGTTCCATAGCCTCTAGGTTAGGAATCCTTGATACATATTTAATCGTCCAGGGACAATATCAAGTCTGAGTGGGATTTGGTCAGACCGCCTATGATTTGTCAGAGAGAATCTGCCTGAACTCACAGAAGAACCTCAGTTTAAGACTTAGAAACGGTAAAATAAAAATAAGAAGCTTGTTGCATTTAGAAAGCAGTGAGAAAATGTTAGTGCTCTTAAATCTTCTTAAAGATTTTCTTGACGTGTGGGTGAGATTGACCTGCTAGATCACAGATAGGCAAGCCACATTGCATTTGAGCCGACATTCATACTTGAGTCATAGACAATACAAACTAGGAAAAACCAGTCCTTAAAGGCTTTTTCCCCAGTTTTCTGAAAGTCGCATTGAAAATTAACAAGTATCATAGGTTTGAGGTGTGGCTCAGAGCTTTTTCAGATGGCTAAAAATAATGGATTATGTATAATTCTCATTAAACACTGAAAAGCAAAATTCAGGAGTGCAGAAGCCATTGGGTAGGCAGTGGTTGCTGGGGTTCAGATCAGGGAGCAGCTTTCCTGTCCTCAGTCTTTTTTTTTTTTTAATCACTTATTCCTCAGTCCAGGCTGAATCTGTGACAGCTTCCTGATTGAAAGTATTTTGATTTGAGAGGACACTGTTAATCCTCATGTTCATTAATCTGAGCATCTTCCAGATGATGTTTTCTATCCTGATCGTGGGTGAAGTGAAGGTCCTTTGATACATTTCTTGGGTGGCATAGGCCATATGCCATTATTATTCAGGAAGGAGTGATTTAGAGTTTCTGCCTACTTGGTGTCTACAAATCTATTTCTTTTTTCCCCTTGGGAAGTGTTTATGTTATTAGCCTATGAAATAGAGGATTGAAAGTCCTCTCTGCAGTGGACTTTTCTTTGGGGTCCACTTGAGAAGAATGCTGTGTTTTAAGAAAGATTATGCTTTAGACAAGGCCATTTGACTTGGGAGGAATTAGTTCTTTCCTGCTGCATAGAAAGGACATCATGGTCACCCTTTAAAAGTCACATGGCTCACCTCTTGGATCATCTTCACATCTGTTAAGTATAAACTGTTGCTGTTGAGTGGCTCTGATTCTTTCCTTTTCCCAGGGGCTACGCTGTTGCTAGTAGCAGTGATGACCGCATGAATGAACCTCCCACTTCACTTGGGCTTGTGCCTCATCAGGTTAGTGATTTGGAAATGAAATAAAACCTTTGGACCTGAGCCCAGTGATGCAAGGAAAAGGCAATTTGGGTCATTTCCAGCTATTCACTTTGGCCCAGCCCAAAACCTATGACCACTCTATTGTCCCTTGAGTGTGGGGGTGGGGAACTGCCCCAGGCCTCTGAGAGAGGAGATTTATGACCACCTACACAGTTACTCTAGATGAAGAATTCATGGGAATTATCAAAAAAAATCACTTAGATGACTTGAAGTGTTTAGCATATTGACCTACTTATCAAATATAAAACTATTTTTAGTAGAATCTAATCTTGCATGTAAGTATAAATGCCGAGAAATCTATAGTGTGGCTGAAAAGCCTCCATGTCTTTGCAGAAAATACATTTGGAAAAGCCTTGTGAGTATAGCCATTTCCACAGTAAAATGTAAAGTACCAGTAAAATTCAGTTGGAAGCTGGATCATCTTTCCTCTTGCCTTTTTTGCTATTATTTGAGATGTTTAAAGAATTTTTTCCTTGGATTTTGTGAATCATTTCTTTTACAGCTCAATTTAGAATATGGAATATGAAAAGTTACCAAAATCAGTGCTTTCATGAAAGCATGACCTTGATCATCAGCTGTGTTGGGGGATTATCAAGGAAAAAGTTGTACAATTTTATTGCTAGAAGAGATCTTAAAAAGAAAGTCTAGCCCCCAGTTTTCATCTTTAAAATTTTATTGACGTTTTTGGTTTTTTACATCTCAGTTCTTTTCCTAGATGTCCTTTTCCCCACCTCCTCCAAACCTGCCTTTGTCATAAAGGAAAAGAGTCAAGCAAAACTGACCAGTACATTTGTGGTTGTCCATGTCTGCCACATCCAGGATCCATACTCATCTGACATCTAGATTCAGTATTTTTTTAAAATAAAATTTTATTGATAGATTTTTTTATACCACCTGCCTTTCCCAATGTATCATTTTCCCTCCCAGAGATTAAGAATAAAAAAGAGGAAAAATAAAAATTTAGTGAAACTAACCAATATAGAGAAAAAAATGTCATCATAAGTAATAATACATACCCATAGCCCCACCTGAAAAGAATTGGGGGGAAGTGCCTTCTTTTATCTCTTCCTTGAGACCAAACTTGATCATCATCATTTTACAGCATTCAGTTTTGATTTGGATTGGGGGTTTTTTGGACTGTTCTTTCCATTTACATTATTGTATATATTGTTTTCCTGGTTCTGTTTACTTAAGTGTTCATATTAGTCATTGAATTTATTCTGAATCCATTTGTGAGTAAAGTTACTAAAATAGGTCTTGACCTGTTCCACTCCCGAGCATGTACCCCAAAGCATCTTTTTCTTTACTTTATTTTTCTTTACTTTATTTTCTTTACTTTTCTTTACTTTGTTCTAGTTTTGTTTCCATTGCTCTTCATCAGTTCATACGTGTCTTTCCATGTTTCTATAAATTGTTCATATTCTTGGTTTCTTGAGCTATATAGCATCTCATTTCATTCATTTATTCATTCGTCTAGCATTCATCTGGCAGTTTAAGCTTTTCCCCATTCTGTGGGTACTCATCCTGTCAATAGCTTTTTGCTGCCACAAAAATTGCTTCTATGAGTATTTTTTCGTGTTCATACATGACTTTGCTTTTTGTCTTTGACTTCCTTGGGGTATGTGTCCTGTAGTGGGGGTTGCTAGGTCAAAGGTTAGGAACTTTTACAAATAATTACAAATCCTTTTCCAGAAAGGTTTGACTTTCTGCAACCCCTCCAGCATTGACTATTTTTTTTTATCATCTTATCCAGTTTGAAAGGGATGAGGTGAAATTTCAGATTTTTGAATTTTGTAGCCTCCTTGTTTTGTAGAGACAGAAAATGAGATTAAAGAGAGGAAATGATTTACCCAGGGTTATTCATGAACTTAGCGGCAGAGCCTGGACTGGAAGCCAGGTCGTCTTATTTTACATATGCCACGTTGCCTTGTTTGACAGTAATATATTAATCCTATCAAACTTCTTCTGTCTACATTTCAAATAGGACAAAATAGATCGTGTAATGAACATTTATGCAGGTGAGCAGATAAGGCACTGACCTGTACCCCCCAGGCCTTAGTTCAGACCACCTTGCCCATTTTGACATTCATTAATTCCCCTCACTGGTGACCTTCAGAGATGTGCCCTCATTTTCACTTTGCTGGTTCTCACTGAAAATGACCTTAATTAAATTTTCAATCACAGCCCAACACTAGCTTCCTTCTCTCTGTCTTTTATGTCAAATTACTATAATTACAGTTTTCTCACTGCCTAGACCAGAAGGCAGAACATCTCTTTTTAAAGATGTCATGTCAAAATTCAAGAAGCCTGATTTTTAAAGTACTCTGTCAACTAATTATGCTCGGTATTATTTGTCCCACTGAACCCCAAAGTGATTTGCCATTCTTTTACTTCCCCTAGTCCTTGTTTCTCCCTTTTTTGCGCCTGAAGGGTTATTTTAGTTGGTCTTCATTTGGCCTTTTCAGAGACTGAAGACAAGCAGCCATATATGGATAGGGTTGTAGCACTTGTGTAATTGCTTGCTTATGTTATTGAAAGATTTAAGCTTTTATTTTTAGCCATGCTCTAAAAAGAAAGTCTATAAAGAACCTTATAAGTTAAGCAGGTTTTTGTGTCTTCATTTAAGACTTGGAATTTTTTTTTAAAGTAGAGTTCATCAGTTTATGCAATTGTTGTGATTAGAGGAAGATCATTTCCACAATAACACTGAGCTGTTGCAATATTTTGATCCAAGCTCAACGCTTTATTTCTACTTTCCCTGGGTTTTGGGGACAAATGATTTCCTGTTGGAGAGGTACTTGGTATCTTCTCCTCATGCACTTTATGTACAGTATGGCCATGGAGACAGTGTAAACAGCCTTAGTTCTTGGGCTTCATTTGTCTTTTTCTTCAAAGAGATTTTTGATTGTGTTCTGTGGGATGGGATGTTTTATAAATATGATCTTCTTGAACTGAATGTCACTAGGGCCCCGATGGCTCATTGTGTAATTTGGGCAAAGTTTCTTAGTTTCTCTAGGCAATAATTCTTCCATATTATTAACAATACCTTACATTTATGTAGTGCTGTGTAAGTCACAAAGTACCTTCAAAGAATTGCCTCATTTTGTCCTCACAATATCCCTTTGAGGGTAGTTAGGGCAAGGATTGTTGTGCCCATTTTATAGACGAGGAAATTGAGGTTCATTCATGAAAGTGAAGCCACTTGCCCAAGGTCATCCTGCTACAAAGCAGGAGAACCAAGACTTGAGCTTCTGGTTTCTTATTTTTCCCACAATGCTGTGCTGCCTGTGGGACTTAGAAGAAACAGAAATTGGCTCATCTATGGACCAGTCAAATGTGGAGAGTCTTTATTTAGGCCCCAAACAGTAATGATGTTAATTTTTGAAAACCCACTTTTATTGAGTAGCAAAGCAATAAAGTCAGTACAAGATGCACTTCTCTTTAATGTTTGCTCCATTTACAAATGGGTTAGATTCTTCATATAGGCACAAGAGAAATTACTTTCCACCTAATTCTTTCTTCAGGACAATTAAACATTGTGGCAGTTAAACGTTTTAATGGCAACCCCTGTAAACTGAAAGTTCTTATTCCCAAAGTGTTGTCTTGTTCTGGCTCCTGGGGCTGTGACTAGATTCTAGGAGAGCAGAACCTGCCTTTTGTTACTTTGGTGAGAGTTTGTAACCCAGAGCCATAGAGTGTTAGAATGCCTGCTGATGAATTGCGCTGGATGCCCGTGCACAGGTCATGGCTCTCTTATAGGCTGTTGAAAGATCTTCCGTGTGACTTGAAGGAGTAGCCCCTTCACCCGAAGTCCCTCACAACTGTCTCTGAGTGGAGTGCTGAGGGCCTGAACAAGGATGATAGAATTGAGTGGAGCAGAGTTGGGAGAAAGGGATAGTTTTAAGAGATGTTGCCAGTCGGAAGGAGTGACAAGATTCAGCCACAAATTGGAGGTGGGGGTAGAAAGAAAAAGAAGAGTCAAAGCTGACTCTGATGTTTTTGATACTTGGTAATTGGGAAGATTAGCACATTAGGATAAAGCTTTGATATCCACAGTCTGTAAGGAATAGGTACAGCATGATACCAGCGAGAGTGCTCAGACTGGAGTCTGCTCGGGCTTCGAATCTCAGCTTGCCCTGTGTGACCTTGGACAGATCACTCATCCTCCTCGGGTGTCAGTTTCCTTGTCCAGATGACCTCTCAGGGCCTTTCCAGCTCTAGGTCTATGATCCCGTGGTTCTGTGATACAAATTTACAAGAGAAGTGGCCATTACTTAATGGCTGAATGTTGATAAAAGATATGAGCAGAGAATTCTTGAAGAAACACAGATTGTTAAGCATTTGAAAAATTGGTCAAACTCATCATTAGAGAAATGCACATTAAAGTAACTTTGACCTTCATAAAATTAGTACAGATGGTTAAAAATGGTAAAATTCAATTATGGTAGGCTCTGAAGAAACAGGCCTACTATTGCCCTGCTGGTGATGCAGTGGATTGATGAAATCTGTCTGGAGGGCTTTCTGGCAATGTGCAGTGAGTTACAAAACTTAGTCCCTTTGACCTAGTGGTCCTACAACCAGGGCTATCTCCTCAACCTAATAATGTCTTCTAATGTTATTAAGAAGGGGAAAAGGTTTTTGTTTCCAGCAGTATTCATTTATTTGTATTATAAACAACCTATCTTTCCAACAGTTGAAGAATGGCTGGATAAAATGTATACTATTGGCAGATTGAAATATTACTATTTTTTTTTTTTTGGTGAGGCAATCAGGGTTAAGTGACTTGCCCAGGGTCAGTGTCAAGTGTCTGAGGTCAGATCTGAACTCAGGTCCTCTTGACTCCAAGGCCAGAACTTTATCCACTGCGCCATCCAGCTGCCCCACGATGAAATATTATTAAAAATTGGAGTAGATGATTGCTAAAGTCCATCCCAGTTCTAAATCTTGTGAATCTGTTGTAT